TCCTGCATTTTAGTTCAATAAAAATTATAAAATAGAAAAAGGCACATCTAGACTAGTAATTAATTACAAACCACTAAATAAAGCTCTAAAGTGGATTAGATATCCAATTCTAAATAAAAAAGATTTATTATAAAAATTGCATCCTATTTTCATATTTTTTAAGTTTGATATAAAATCAAGGTTTTGGAAAATTCAAATTTATCCTAAAGACCATTGCAAAATTATATTCATAGTTCCTTTTAGTCAATATGAATAACATGTTATGCCATTTAATTTAAAAAAATACACCATCTGAATTTCAAAGGATAATGAATGATATATTCAATGTATATTCCAAATTATGCATAGTTTATATTGATGATGTTCATATTTTTTTCAAACTCATTAGAACAACATTTTAAACACCAACAAACATTCTTTCATGTTACAAAAAAAAATGATTTAGTTGTATCCAATTCAAAGATTTCTCTATTTCAAACTCGCGTTTGTTTTATCAACCATTATATTTGCCACGATACCATCACATCTATTAAAAGATCCCTTATCTTTGCTAACAAATTCCTTGATAAAATCCTTGATAAGCCTTAATTACAAAGGTTTTTAGAAAGTCTAAATTATGTTTTATGATGGACTATGAAAAAACCCAGTACCATGGTCCGATGCGCAAAACCCTATTACGATAGACTATGAAAAAACTCAGTACCATGGTTCGATGCACATACTGCTCGCATTCGTTAGATTAAAAAATACGTCCAAGAAATCCCTTGTCTTCATCTAGCCAGTCCCGTAACTTTTAAGATTGAAAAAAAAATGCGTCAGAATTGGGGTATGGGGGAATTCTCAAACAAGTTTAAAATTCCAAAGAACAAATTCTTTAATTTACTTTTGCCCATTGAAATGATTGTCCAAAGAATCATAATTAAAAAAAGGCATATGCAAGCATTTAATTAAATAATCAAGAATCATCTATGTTAATAAATGTGAAACATAAGGTGTTTACGCATCTATTCAATTCACCTTGTTGCAGGTCAAATGAAAAAAATATAATGCAAATGAATGAATGAGTAGGAGTTATTAATGTGTTTTTTTGACATCAAGTAAAAAGTATAACTATAAATTGAAAATTCGATGCTTATATTTAATAAAATAAAAAAAGGATCATATACATTAATAAAAACATGTATGATCTTAAGTTAATTTGTAACATAGTAGAAAAATGAAACATTATTTTGTGTGTGTGTTTCCTTATATGATGATTGATACAATCCAAACTATGTAAAAGAATCCATTAGAAGTTCTAATCGGGCCAATTACAAGATCAAGGGTAAAGAAGTTTAAAGATGGATTCAATAAGCTTATTTAGCGTAATTGACCCAAAGTGAATTTCAAGGAGGTTATAACTTCAATAAGTGATGATCAAGTCGTTGTCAATCTAATATATGTGCAAGAGGAGCTCGATCCGTCTACAATATGGACCTAATTATTTCATAATGATGGACTAATTAATTTTGATATTAGAGGCGGTTTGGGGTTTGTTTTTCCTAATACACAGTTTTACTCTAACAATTATAATTTTTAAATCATAATTGTTAACATGGCATAAGGCTAAAATTTTACCTTAAGCTTTTAGAGGTCTTGTTCTATTTTCACTTAAATTTCTAAAGCAATCGAAGATTAGAAAGGCTTTGCGATAAGATCCAGAAGCTACTGTGCAAAAATCATATTAGTTTTCTAGTTAATTTAGGATTTGTTTCTATTTTATTTAGAAATCTTTTATTATTTTTTCAACATTGTTTATAAAGTTTTGACATGTTATAAATAGGGTTACTTAGCTTATATGTAAGGGTTTTTTAGGGACATACTTTAATTTCAGTAATTATTATTGTGTGTGAGAGCTTTTGCTGGTATCCTTTGATTGTTCATTGAACTTCTATGACTTATCAAAGGATTAATCAAGCTTTATGATGTTTTCTATACTTCTTGTTCGCATTTCTCTATAGGCAATAAGTGAGAGTTTGATTATTTATCATTTTAGTATCTCAGCACAGGTTATCGTTGTGTCAAACTCAATTTTAAACCTGATTTTAACTTTCTTGAGAATGGTTAATTTAAATATTGGTTTTCATAGTTTTATATTATTGGGATTCATATCAATAATTCTTTTAATCGAGAAATGTAAAATGTTATTCATGAAAAATAAAATAAATCTTAAAATATACAGTTTATAAATTGAGAAAGAGTTGTTAATAATAATAAAATTCTAAAATAAAAAGATAATTATTTCCTTAAGTAAAAGATAGATAAATATGAAATTTAACCTCAAATTTTTTCTTTGATTAACATAATTTTTTTAATCTTAATGACCACTGTTTCTCACCAAGAGTAAATAATTTTTGTTTTTAAGAATAAATTTTACTTATATAAAATATAAAATAAAATTTATAAATCAATTATAATAATCTCTTAGAAACATTAAACACTTATAAAATAACTATAAAATTATCATTATTTCAAAAAACTAAATAAACAATCTTTAAAAAAAAACAATCTAATGCACACAACTAGGTATAGAAGCTAATGAGCAATTTTCCAACGAGACAATTAAACTATAACTAAAATTGTTCAGTGTTTTATTGTGGACTGCACAGTGCAGTCCATAGTAAAACACTAACCAGCTACTTTCTTTCTTCTTTTTTTTATAAAAATGTTTTGTTTTTTTTTTCTATTTTTAAGTTGTTTTTTTTTCTTTATTTTTTTTAATGAATATTTTTTTGTTTAATTTTTTTTTAATATAAATTTTTTTTTCTATTTAGTTATCAAACTTTCATGACACGGGTTTCGAGTTTGACGGGTTAACCCAGATTTTTTTTTTCTGATTTTCTTTTTAATTAATTATTTTTTCGAGTGCAGTCCACAATGAAACGCTGAGCTGTTTTTTTTTTTTGCCTTTTTTTTTGTTTTTTTAATCAATTTTTTTCTTTGTTTTTTTTAATGAATATTTTTTTTGTTTAATTTTTTTTGTTAATGTTAAATGTTTTTCTATTTAGTTATCAAACTTGCATAACACAGGTTCCGGGTTTGACGGGTTAACCCAGATTTTTTTCTGGTTTTTCTTTTTAATTAATTTTTTCATTTATTATTGTAACATATACTAAAAGGCATCGGTGTTTTACTGTGGACAGCACTGTGCAGTGCACAGTAAAACACTGATGATTTACCTTTTTTTCATTCTTTTTTCGTTTCTATTTTTTACACTGATGAGTTTAGTTTTTTTGGGCTAGATTGTTTTTTTTTTGTTTTGTTTTTTTAATGTCTTTCTAGTTTTTTTTTTTGCTTTTTTTAGTTTTTTTTCTTTTAATGAATTTTTTTTTTTAATTTAGTTTGTTAATGTTAATTTTTTTATTTAGTTATCAAACTTTCATGACACGGATCTCAAGTTTAACAGGTTAACCTGAATTTTTTTTTGCTTTTTTTGTTTTAATTAATTTTTTTCATTTAGTTTAATTTGTTAATGTTGAATTTCTTTCTATTTAACTTCGACTTCCATGACAAGTATCCCGGGTTTAACGAGTTGACCTGATTTTGGACTGCACAGTGCAATCTGCAGTCCAAATGCTGAGCTGTCTTTTTTTTTCCATTTTTTTTTAATTTTTTATGCCTCTAGAGTTTTTTTTGTTTTGCTTTTTTCTTTGTTTTTTTTCTTTTAATGAATTTTTTTTGTTTAATTTAGTTTGTTAATGTTAATTTTTATTTTATTTAGTTATCAGACTTTCATGATACAGATCCTGAGTTTGACAGGTTAATAAGGTTTGACGAGTTAACCCGTAATTATTTTTTTCTTTTTTTGTTTTAATTAATTTTTTTTTATTTAATTTAGTTTGTTAATGTAAAATTTTTATTTAATTATCAGACTTTCATGACAAGTATCCCGGGTTTGACAGGTTAACCTGAATTTTTTTTCATTTTAATTAACTGTTTTCATTTAGTATAGTTTGTTAATGTTAAATTTTTTTCTATTTAATTATCAAACTTTCATGACACGTATCTCGAGTTTGATGAGTTAACCTGATTTGATAGGTTAACTCAATTAATTAGGGGTTAACCCGGTTAATTCAGATTTTTTTCTTTTTCTTCACAGTGCAGTCCACAGTGAAAAGGCTGATACCTTTTGTTTGTTTTTGTTTTTTTTCTTTTTAATTAATTTTTTTCATTTAATTTAGTTTGTTAATATTAAATTTTTTTCTATTTAGTTATCAAACATTCATGATACGGATCTTGAGTTTGACGGGTTAACCTGGTTTGACAGGCTAGCCTAGTTAATTCTGGGTTAACCCGTCAATTTTTTTTTCTATTTTGTTATCAAACTTTTATGACATGAATCCAAGGTTTGACGGTTAACCTGGTTTAAAGGGTTAACCCAGTTAATTCATATTTTCTTTTTCTTTTTCTTCATTAGTTTTTTTTTTCATATTGATTTTTTTCTTTTTAATTAATATATTTAATTATCACACTTTTATGACACGACTTTGTAGTCAAACTCACATCCAAAGCTATTGAGTCTGGTATTGCAGGTATACCAACTTAAACTTAGGTCATGCAAGTTTAATATTATTATTAAGATTATAAATATTACTCTTGGATCAGGCGTTGCAGCCAAACTCAAGACTCTTGCATATAATTTTGCATAAAAACTTAACATTTTTAAATCTTAATTTTTTTTAATATTTTTTTTACAAGAAAAATTAATATACAATATCGCGCATGGATCATTAAACTAGTCCCAGCTAAACCCAGACAAAGATCATGAAACCAGGCAAGTTCATTTAAGTTAGATGCACACTCCCTAGCCTTTTTTTTCTTTATATATATATAGTTTTCTCTACATATATATTACTGACTTAAATGTCAGAGAATCATGTACATCAAGAGAGTTATTTTTTAGGCGATTAGAACAACCACTAGCCAAACCTAATTTTCTTGTGAGGTTTTTTCGCGGCTTCATGAGCGTTTCTATCAACTTGATCTGGTATGGCAAGTTTAAGCCATCTCAGCGTGCCATTGTCTCAGATTTTATTGCCTCTGTCTCTTCTAGAAGACCCACGACAGCCCAACCCTCTGTGGCCACGTGATGGAAAGCTACTGAGAAATATTACAACCTTGTCAAGACGAAGAATACCTCTCCTCTTCTCCTCTCTGTAGGAACACAGATTTTAGACGAGAGCTATTCATTGGGGAAATCGCTCTCCAGCAAGCAAATCGTGCAGCTAGCATCGAAGGGTGGTCAAAAGCGTGCAATCAACGTTGTTTTGACATCATCCGATGTTGCTGTTGAAGGGTTTTGCTCTAGTAAATGTGGTACTCATGGGTCCTCTTTGAGTGCTAAAAAAATCAGCGGTAAGAGATCGAAATTTGCTTACATCTGGGTTGGTAACTCTGAGACTCAATGCCCCGGTCAATGTGCGTGGCCATTCCACCAGCCAATCTATGGACCGCAGAACCCTCCATTGGTTGCACCCAACAATGATGTGGGTCTTGATGGTATGGTAATCAATCTGGCTAGTCTTCTGGCTGGGACTGCAACAAACCCGTTTGAAAATGGCTATTTCCAGGGTCCAAAGGAGGCTCCTCTTGAGGCCGCATCTGCTTGTCCTGGGGTCTATGGTAAGGGTGCGTATCCTGGTTATGCTGGGGACTTGTTAGTGGACTCTACAACCGGTGCTAGCTATAATGCTCATGGTGTTAATGGAAGGAAATACGTGCTTCCAGCTTTATTTGACCCTTCAACTTCAACTTGTTCCACTTTAATTTGAGAAAGGATCGCATTAGTGTGTATGAGAGTAGAGAGATTATTCTTTGATTTAATCATTGTTTCATTCAATTATAATAAAATCAAATTTTAAGTATATTTGAATTAATGTTGCCTCTTGAGTATTGATGATACATTACTAAATTGGTTTGTATCTTCTTCTGATTGAATTTGATTAATTAACTCGAGAAAGTAAAAGTGCAATTTTTTTCAATTCAGATATGTAATTACGAAATTAATATTCATTTGTTGTTGTTTATTGTGCTGTATCATCAGCAATTAATAAATAAATTGCATTTTTCATTCATCACAGTTGCATATTGTTTATCAAACCTCAAAATAACGTCGTTGGACATAAAGGTAGTTTTCCAATTTTCCATTCATTATCATAAAATTAATATTCGTTTCCTCTTGCTTCTTAACATTAATTATTAATTAAATGATGACGTTAATGCACTATAAACTAAAAAATATTTTTAGTTTGGTACATAGAATATGAGGTTCGCTCGGAATGGGTACGTGAACTTCATTTATACTGTAACTCGGCTTCTATATATATTTATTTTCTCGTGTCTTGTTACTTGTTGAATTAATTTTTAAAAATGTTAAAATTACTAATTTTTTTATTGTGTTATTAAATTCAATTTAATAATATAATTTTAAAATCTCACAGCATGTTTGATTATCTTTGGTTTCCAGCTAAATTACACGAGAGTTAGTTTAAATTAAATTGATTAATTTAATAGGTTTAAATATAATTTTAATGATTAGTAAAAATATAACATGATTTTTAACAAAATTTAAAATGATAATTTTTTTTTAAAAAAAATTATCAAGATAATAACAGATTGGATAGATCTCAATCTTCTCATGATTCATATCATGGACTCTATTAAGTTTAATAAAAAAATTTATAAACTATACTTTAATTATATGATAAACATATATGATAGCAAAATTGAGTATCAACCTAAAAATAAAAATTTATCCGGGATAATTATAATCAACCTAAAAATAAAAATTTATCCGGGATAATAATAATCATATAAAAGTAAATAAAAATAAATTATGCAGTATATGTTTTTTGAAATCTAATATTGAAGTATAAAATTAAAAACAAAATTAATAGAAAAAGAAAAGGCATATCTACCCACTTGATGAACTCGTCAAACATATGAATCAGTAACTCGAGCTAGCACGCCAGATCTGTGAATCAGGTTATGGATTTTAATAGAATTATAATTTTTCTCTCAAAACTATTTTTATTTAACTATATGATAATAAAAATAGACAACCAAAAAATCAAACACCAACTCAATAATATGATGTTGAAAAAATAATTAAAAAATAATAAAAAAGCTCAACTTTTTAGATTTATTAACCATGTCAATCAGTCACACCTGTGAACATATTTATAAGTTTTATAAAGTTTAATAACATGGTTTTTCTTTGAAATAATATTTTTAACAATATGAGAAAAAATAGATGACAAAAAAGTCAAATTCAATCAAAAAAAGAGAAAAACCAATTTTACCTTTGTAATTTCTTTCTTAAACAAAAAAAAATTGAAAAAACTAAAAGAAAAATATATTTTAAAATATTTAATATCACAATATGAGTCATTTACTTAGTTTTGTTTAATAAGTTTTTTATTAAAATAAATAAAATAGAAATCAACATAAACATAAGATTTATTGAATAAAATAACAAGAAAAAAAACATATCATGCAATATTATATATACTAAAAATTTTATAAAAAATAAATATTTTTTATTTTTAAAAATAAATTTAATATATATAAATTATAAAAATTATTTAGCATACATGCAAGCATTCAATTACAAGACAGACAAATTTACTTACAAAGAAACTTCAATTACATAATAAATATTTCTATTAATAATTAATTAAAAAATATTTATAACATGTGTTTGCAAGAAGATTTTGTTTCTACAATATTACTTCTCATTGCAAACAATTATATTTTTGTTTGAATAAAAGGGTACTCTAGATTATTACACACTAGTGCGGTTCAAATAGAGGGAGATTAAACTTATTTTTTTTTATTGTTTAGAATCATGTTTTTATGTTTTTTTAATTATTTTGTTGTGTTAATATTATAAATAATTTTAAAAAATAAAAAATATTATTTTAATATATTTATAAATAAACAGTAATGACACATTTTAGAAAGCAGCTGAAAATTGTTCTTGTTAGCAGCTAGCTATTCCGCGTCGAAATGCTAGGTAATTTTACTAATTCATAAGACAGTCAAAGAAGCATTTAGCCAATAATTCACTGAACATGAACTAACTTTTGTGAAATCGCTCCGTGGTCGTCCTTGAGATGGCAATAAAAGGGGCTGCTGAGCCGTGTTGTCATATTTATTTAGAATGAGAAGGTAGGTTTTTGTGTTTTAAAATAATGTAAAATTATTTTTATTTTAAATTAATATTTTTAAATTATTTTAATATGTTAATATTCAAAATAATTTAAAAAAAAAAAAATTATTTTAATATATTTTTAAATAATAAATATTTTAAAAAATAATTATAACCATAATCAGTGGGATGACGATGCTCTTTTGACTGCCCTTCCCCTTTTCACGCAATCCCTCCCACCTCCTTAATTTTATCCAGCTAGCATCCTCTAAGTTAATCCTGTCGCTACTGGTTTTGTTTTACCGTTTTTCGACATAACTGGTTTCGGCTTTCCTTGAATTAAAAATAACAAGATTGCTGGCTACATTATTATTATTTTAATTAAAACTATGTACTGGTTTTAGTTTGCATTCTCCTGATGTGTCCATGCCTGTCCCATAAGGCTACGCTGCCCCTCATGTATTGTAAAAATACATTAAGAGAGAAATAAGTTTAGTTTATTGTGTCAATTCTTTTCATTTAGTATAGTAAGTAATATGAATTAGTTTTTTTATTTACTTTTGCTTCATTTTAGAAATTAAATTTCATTTTAAATACAATTCTTGACATTTAAAATGGTTTTAGATATTTGATTTATTAAAATTTCTTAATTAAATTCAATAAAAAAGATTCTTACAAATGTTGTTAATAATCTTAAATTATCATAAATTACCTTGTTATTAAAAAAAGTACAGAAAACTCTAGAGAATGAAGGTTTTAATTTTTTAAAAGAGGATTTGAGAGCATGGTATGAATTATTTTTTAAAATAGTTTTTTTAAAAAATATTATTTTATTATTATTTAAAAATATATTAAAATAATATTTTTTATATTTTAAAAATATTAATTTAAAACTAAAATAAATTAAAAATTCTAATAAAACAGTGATCCGACCAATAAAAGAAAACACACACACTCTCCTAGAAAGTAGCCAGACATTTCTTACATGAACTGCTCAGCATTAACTACTTGATCAGATCAAAACTCAAAAGTCAGCTCCTTCCCAGGTCCCTGCCTCCCCTTAATGACTACACTTATACCATTAGCCAAGTCCCCAGCGGTTCTGCTGCGTCTTCGACACCCAACAAGTTAATCCCACGCGTCACCATTACATAAGATTTAGGCTCCTTCCTCTTCCAGCTGTATCGCCCATCCCACTTTCCTCACCCAGTATAAATACCTTTTGCACCCCATCTCTCTCTTCACTCCAAGGCATTCCCTTACCAAAATTAAGCAGAATACTCCATGGCTTCCATTTCCCATCTCATTGTTTTCACTTCACTGCTCGCACTCTTCTCTTCACTTGTTCCTGCCATAGCCACAGCAAGAAAGCTTGCTGCTTTAGTTAAAGAACAACCTCTTGTCCTCAAGTACCACAACGGCCCGCTTCTCAAAGGCAACATCACAGTAAACATCGTCTGGTATGGCAAGTTCTCACCAGCCCAGCGCTCCATAATTGTTGACTTTCTCCACTCTCTTAATTCCATGAAGCCCCGGGCACCTTCAGTCTCAACGTGGTGGCAAACTACTGGGAGGTACAGGGGAGGTCCACGCACTGTAGTCGTGGGTACACAAGTCCTTGAAGAAAAATACGCTCTTGGAAAGTTGCTAAAGACCCCACAGATTATTACCTTAGCGTCAAAAGCTGGCCACGGCAAGAATTCAATCAACCTTATACTTACCTCTGCTGACGTGGCGATCGATGGGTTTTGCATGAGCAGGTGTGGGACCCATGGGTCTGGCCAGGACAAGGTGGGTAAATTTGCCTATGCGTGGGTCGGTAACGCCGCGACTCAGTGTCCAGGTCAATGTGCGTGGCCTTTCCACCAGCCAATTTACGGGCCCCAAGGTCCACCGCTGGTGGCTCCTAACGGTGACGTAGGAATCGACGGCATGATCCTTAATTTGGCCACGGTTTTAGCGGGAACAGTAACGAATCCGTTTAATAACGGGTATTTCCAAGGGCCAGCCAACGCACCTCTAGAGGCTGTGAGCGCGTGCACTGGTATTTTTGGTAAGGGGGCTTACCCGGGATATCCAGGGGAGGTTTTGGTGGACAAAACGACGGGAGCTAGCTATAATGCTTTCGCTATCAATGGGCGCAAATACTTGCTCCCAGCAATGTGGGATCCATCAACGTCCACCTGTAAAACCCTCGTTTGAGCAGAATTTTGAGGAGCAATTTTAACAAGTTTATATATATATATATATATATATATAGAGTAGATATGGAGTGGTTGTTAAAAGAGAAAAGTAAATAGTTGCTTATAGGTTTGAAGGTTCTCTTTTGCTTTGTAATTATGTTTGAAGATTATTTTATCTCTTTATAAAAGTTTTTTTTTTTTTGTGATTTTATGACCAAATCGCAATGCCCTCTTTTGTTTTTTAAGGTTTTTGGACTGTTTAGATTTGAACTTTATGGATTTTTATAGCCAATTTCATGTTTTCATCAGGAAGCAATAGAAATTCTAAACATCAATCTCCATCTTGGAGCCTTTATCAAGGACATTCCAACTAGTGAGGGCTCTGGGTTCTTTCATCTTCTAGAAACAAGCTACATAGCCTTTACTTCCATTTGGAGCTTGCCATAAACAATTTATGTCGAGGATTGGTGTTGTGTTAATTTAAAGGTTTTCTAGACTGCTTCAAAGTAGTATGTGCTTTTATGAACAAGATTTGAATTTGTTTCAAGATGATAAACCTAATTTACCTTATTCTTCTTAAATAACTGAAATGTGATGAGGAAGATAGCTAAAATTTTAAATTGGATTGAATTAAAATTTGAATAGGATCAATTTCTATTTGAGTACACTCTTGGTATGTGTTGTCTTTTTTAGAAGTTCTAGGCTGCCACTTTATGAGTTGATGAGCTATGTAATCCCCTCCTCAATGCCCACCTGCCAAATTTGGACCCCTTCCTCTTTCTTCCCTGGACTTTAGTACTTTTTATAGAGAGTTCTCTCTTCTTAATCTAGTCATTTCTAATCTAAATTGTTCAGAACATTATAGGAGTTAAATGATGAAAAGAAAACCCTTTAGTTAGGTTTAACTTTAAACAGCCCCTGCCACGAATATAATAAACACACTCACAATTAACTAAAAAAATAAGAAGAAAAAAGATATTGTTAAGTATATTTAAATCATGATTATTAAACTCAATTAAATTTAAAAAATTAATTATGGGCTCAACGGGCTCGATTAAAAAAAAAATCAGCTTGAGATTCATCTTTTTAGTTTAATAGGTAAACTTGTGATTTGGCTTAGTCAAAATTTGAATTGATTTTAAAAAATTATTATTTTTAATTTTTTTTTAAGAAAATAATATTAATATGAAACAACCTAATTGAACCTATATAATTTGTCATTCAGGCCTTCGGCAGAGAATAAGTTTAATAATTTTAAATCCAATTTTTTTTACCTAGAAAATACATACCAACACTTATTTATAATCTTAAATACGTACCAACACTTATTTATAATCTTAGATAGTGTTTGATTACCATTTTAAAATAAAACAAAACATAGACAATGGAGACAAGGGTACATTGTCTCCTTGCACTTTCTGTTTTAAAAATATAAAAATTTATTTTAAAAATAAATTTATTTTATATCTCTGAAAAATATTTTTATCATTACTATATTCATTTGTTTTGTCGTAAGACATTAACTAAATGCAACTTGGATGCAATAATGGTGCTGGATTTCCCTTAAGCAGCAATATGTGAACGCATAGGCCCAATTATGTAAGCCCAGCAAGTCACATTTCCATTCTCCGCACAAGTCGAGAAGCCCCCAGTTGAATTGCTTTCAGCAACCCCCGCACCGCAGTCCATACTCCCTCCACTCTCCTCAACTCCTCTTCACCGAAGAACCTCCAAAATGGAAGAAACCCAAGAGCACAACCATAATCACAACCACAACCACCAGGACCCTCCAAGATCCTCCACAGCTACACTATCACCTACCTGCGTTAAGTGCGGAGGCCCATGCTCATTCCCTCCACCACCCGTACAATCTCAATGGTCCGAAATCTCCCCTCCCCCAATCTACCGCCCGATCCGTTCACCGGCAATAAATCTCCCACCAAATACAAATTCTCAAGCCATAATCCTCGCTCCAGTCCCACAATCCCAAAAAGTCCCCACTATTTCCCTTCCTCACACCTTCCAATCCCCCTCCAAAAAAATCCAATCCCCTGATGACATTCGTAAATTCATCAACTCCGATTCCTCTAAAAACTTCCTCGGCTTCGTCGTCGCTCTCTCAGAATCCATACGCGCCCGCAAAATCTCCGATTCCTGTCATGAATCCACTACTCTGAAAAAAATTGTGTCCGTTATCGAAGGCCTTGTTCATTGGATCGAAGAAATACCTCCGGTTCAACAATCTTCTCGATACGGTAACATCTCTTACCGTACCTGGCATAGCCGTTTGGTAGAAAATAGTGAGAATTTAATGCTTCAATTCTTACCTGATAATTTAAAGTCTTCAATGGTCGAGATTGTTCCTTATTTTACTGATAGTTTTGGTAATGCCAGCCGGATTGATTACGGTACAGGACATGAAACTAATTTCGCCGCGTGGCTTTATTGTTTGGCAAGAATGGGGATTATAGAGGAAGTTGATTATCAAGCTGTAGTTTCTAGGGTTTTTGTTAAGTATATTGAATTAATGAGGAAACTGCAATCAGTTTATAATCTAGAGCCTGCTGGGTCGCACGGTGTTTGGGGGTTGGATGATTATCATTTCTTGCCGTTTATATTTGGATCATCACAGTTGATTGATCATAAGTATATGAAGCCTAAGTCTATTCACAATGAGGATATTTTGGAGAACTTTTCAAATGAGTATATGTATCTTTCGTGCATTCTGTTGATTAAGAAGGTTAAGAAAGGTTTGTTTGCTGAGCACTCGCCTTTGTTGGATGATATCAGTGGAGTGCCTAACTGGAACAAGGTGAATAGTGGGTTGCTTAAGATGTATAGAGCAGAAGTCTTGGAGAAAGTGCCTATCATGCAGCATTTTCTGTTTGGGTCGCTTATACAGTGGTATGTTTTTTTCCTCGTCCATGACTAATTAATGCATTGGTTATTTCATTCTAATTTGGTTTTGCTTTGGTGTGAATTAGGAGTTTTCTTAATGTGGTGTTGCAAAAATTATTAGTGGGAATGAAATAGGAGTTTTCTTAATGTGGTGTTGCAAAATTTATTAGTGGGAATGAAAATAGACATATAGACATTGACATGAAAAATAGATAGAGCACTATGCAGATTTTAGCTTGGCACATGAGCTAAGTTTATAGTTGGGGCTATCTTTTATGCATGGTGGTTGTTTATCAGGTTGCAGTGGCTGGATTGATGGCTCTATCTTTAATATATAGTTTTTCTTTTCATAGATTACTAGTTGTTGTACTTGCAATTAGTTGTCTGTAGCCTTTTCATTACACTTCCATTTCATGTTCTCCATGATTTTACATGTTGTACAAAGTGTTACTTTTCTTAACAGAATATTTGTGTATTAGTATAGAGGAGGATGATTGCTTCAACTTGGGTTTTCTTTCATGTGATATTGGTTTGAATAAGATGCTTGCATGAAGTCTCACAGTCCATATCCAATTAAACCATCCAGCTCACTCGTCTTAAAGAGCAAGCAGCACTTGCCTCTGCCGTAGTGCAATTTTCAAGCACACAGATCTCCAGTTGGAAGCATTTTGTCTTGCCTCATGTTTGCTTCTTCAATAACTTTTGATATGTTTCTCAAGTACAGATGGTCTTCTTTGTTATCGTCAGATTTTTCCTTCCATCTTTCATTCAACTTTTCCAGGGCAAGCTATTAGGAAACAACTGCTTGCATACTGTGTCTAGGTTTAGGAGTTACATTGAAAATTCATGTTATATTTTGAATTCTGGCTTTTCATTGAAATTAGATGATGTGAAAATGTTGCCATTTCATGCAAGGAAAATAATGTTTATAAACATAAGATTTTGATGGGCACTAAGGCACACCTTCGAATGAAAGATGCATTTGAAGTCATCAATTTTTAACATGATTTGAGCCTGACAAGTTTTCATACAATTGTCTTTATGTCTGAACCAAGTATCTCTTAAATACTAAGTGCTGGCTTTAATTTGGCTTATTAAGTTTCTTGCATTTGATTGCCATTGGATTGTTTTGGTGTTTTCCTCTTTGAATGTCTTTAGACTTTTTCCTATTACATAGATTCCACTTCACTTCTTGATTGTGAGAAGTGGTCTGATTTCAGTAGCCTCCTTGTGGGGCATTAAAGACCCCAGTGTTTGGCTGATATCTCTGTGCTTGCCATGGAAGATTTTACAAACATAACACTGATTATTGGCAAGGCATGGACAGTAGTTGCTTCAAATTTAGCACCACACAGTAAGTGGTGCCTGACACCCCCCTAAATTGACACCTTTGAAAGCACATATTTCATTTTTCTTCATTCAACATAAGGTCGAGTTTATCAATGTATCAAGCTGGCAATCACTTATCCTTGCACGATGCAGCTTAATGAATATCGCACTAAGTAAAACTGACTTGTCGTATAACAACAAGGCAGATCATAGAGATATACTACTTTATTCTTGGAGATTGCTTGCATCATTTACATGCACCTAGAACAAACTCATTGGATTCAATTGTATTAATTAGGTTGCTCACTATGGTGCCAATGTTACTCAAAACTTGGGATCAGAATCGATCAGAGCTTTGTTATTTGGAAACACTGTTTCCTTTATGATTAAAAGAGTTATTGTTTTCGTTTTATTTTATTTTGGTCATTGCACTGCCAATTGTGACTTGGAAAGCATTCTCTAGTCTTTAATTGTCTCACTCAATTGGGAAATTTTGAATGCCTGTAGGTGGCTTATGATCTGCGTAATTGTAGCTTATTCTTTCAAAAGAAAGCTCAATATTGATTTATATATTTTCGTTTTAAATCTAGTATCTAGTGATTGGTTCTTTTTTCCTTTTTCTTTCAGGGAGTAGTGCGTTTTATCAGCTCTATAAGAACATATGCTACGGAACTAAGAGAGTGATTTTTCCATCGGGTTTCGCCATGAGTTTAACAGAGTGGAAATGTGCTCCTACTGTGAATTCATTGAGCTATCTCTGTTTTCTTTTTTCTTCCTATTATTTTCTTAAACTGACCGTGCACATGCAGTATCGGATAATTATCTATCCGTTTGTTTTCCAACTTATTTGACGGGTAGTTTAATAATTGTCTGTCAAGTGGCTGAGGGATGAAAGAAGCTCGTATGAATGTAGAACAAATGGCATGCAAGGCGTAGGGGGTGTTTGTTTCATGTAAAATATTTTTTTGAAAACTAATGTTTAAACTTTCTCATGGTTGTATAATTTTGGAAATTTGGTGATGGTTTGTAATCAAAGAAAAATTTTAAAGCATTTTCGAAGGATATTCTTTTTTCCTTTCAATCAGAAAATAATTTGGAGACTAAATTATTTTTAAAATCGAAATTTGTTAAACTAGATTTAGGGTTTTATTTTGTATTTTTATTTTGGTTTTTTTTAGAACTAATTAAGTTTGATTGAGGGAAAATTTTAAATATAAATATAATTTAAAAATAAAAAGTGGCTAGTGTTGGTGTGTCAATCATGTCATTGTGTTTAGGCGGAATTTTATACCGCGTACAATGTTTTAAGTGGCCTTTCTTGATACGGTTAAAATGGACTTAGTGGCCCCTTCTCTTTCTAGATAGTGGCAATGGTGATTTCTTTCTATTTTTTGTCTTTTGGTTTTCTATTTCTCATTTTTATTTATTTATATGATTTAATTATTATTTATTTTATTTAAAATAATTCATAAATTTTTTTAATTTTACATCCTGTTAACTGGAAAATTTAATTTTTTTTTGATAAACTTGAAACATATTAATGTGATTTTTCAATTTATTTTGTAGTATATTCAAATATTAGAAAGTATTTACCCCAAAAAAATACTTTTCATAAAATCAATTTCTAAAATCATTAAGATTTTTGCGCCATTATTTGATGGAACTAATGTTTTTCTCGTGATGAATGATAATGTTGAAGTTTAGAGCTTTTGGTTTTTATTTGGTATCCTTATATTCTTTTAAAGAGTAAAACTAGTCTTATTTAATGTTTGTAGTTGCCTCTTCCAATAAAATTACTTCTTAAGGATCGAATTTGTGTTCTCATCCTTGTAGAGATGTTTAAAAGGACAACAATTGATAAGCGGTCATAATTTATTCTAAATTATAAATAAAGTTAAAAAAGGTGGAAAAACATTGTTATCCATAATTATTAGCATTCCGAATTAGTAATTCATAATATTGTTGTTGGTTTTTTTTCTGCATTTTGATAGTTTTTTTCCTTTGGTTATTGATTATTTTTTTTGAATTTAGTTATTGTATGATGTGTTCATAAAGATTTAGGGTATATAATTTATTTTAATATGTTTTTATATGATTATTGCAGTATCAAAAAAATATTATAGCATCGGGTTGATATCAGAAAAATATCATAGTATCGCAATATGGTCTATTAAAAAAACAATTAGTCAAATAAAAAATAATTTTAAATGAAACTAAATTATTAAACTTTGTGGAGTTAATAATCTGGTTTGCTAGTTTAGAAAGATAACCTTGGTTGCCCCTATTTGTGGGTTTAGTAGGGTAGTTTCTTTTTTTAAATTGAACTTAATTATGTGATCATCTATTTTTTTTTATCATATATTTAAAAAAACAATTTTGAAAAAAAAATATTATTAAATTTTAGAAAGTCCTTGGCCTTGTTAATGAGTATGATGCGTCATAACCTATTTTTTGATTTTCAAAAATTAACTCAAAAATAAATATATCAATAAAAAATGAAAAGAAAAATAATTTAAAATTTAAATTAACACAACACAAATTGAAGGTTCGGGGATCAATAAGGAGGAAATTATAAATTTGAAAGTCAATTTGGTAAAAAATTAAAAGAATTGATACGTTTAGAAACTTAATTAAACTTTGAATTAGTTTAATCAATGAAATCAGAGACGTAATGAAAAAAAATATCAAAGTTTAGGGATAATTTGGGTTAAAATTGCAAGAAATTAAAGTCCAAAGATCGAAGTGAACATGCGGTGATACTATAGGGGGTTAATTGATTTTTCTAGTTGTAATTTTGAAAAAAATAAAAATTAAGGAGTCAATTAAGAACATAATTGATTAAATTTGAAACCAAGGACTATTTTGTAAACAACGCTAAAAAACTGCATCATCTATTAAGGAGTCATCCTCTTCTTCCTCATCCTAGGGAAGATCGACTCGGTAAAAAACTGCATAAAATCTGATTCAAATCATGGATCAAATTCATCTTCTACCAAGCCTTCTAGTTGTTTTAGTACCTCAGCCTATCTTAGGTAGGATATTTAAGGAGTGGTCATATTTTTTCTTTCACGTAACTAGTCCCGTATCATAGAGTTTGTGTTGACCAATTAGAATTTCTAGTGATCATAATACTAGATGACAACTCCTTACACCAGACCTTTCCCTATCTAAGAAAAAGATGTCAGATATCTATTTATTTTCCATATAAATTTTTAAAGGTCGCTACAATGTAGGATTCAAAAACGAGTTTAACTTTTTTTATATATATAATTTTTTTTTTCAATTTCATCCTATGATATTAGATTGGCTAAGAATTGAGTTTTATGATTTATTTCTTTTTTATTTTCTATAAGGTTAACATCATCTTAAAAAAAATTCTCAGTATTGGTTTGTTGCTCAATTTTATGATTGTTTATTTTTGTTATTATATAATTAAATAAAATGATAGTTTAGAAAAAAAAAAAAACAAGTTATCAATCCTAATGGAGTCCATTACTCAATTTTATACAAGTACATAGGTAGTCACATGATCATATGTGATTCATTTATTTGGATCTTGTATTTGACTTCGTTTCCATCTTGAAGAGCTATTTATATGATAGTTTACATTGAAATTTAATAGTTTTATTAATGAAAATTTTTGTTTATATTTATACTAACAGTTCATTCTCTCAGTGCTAAAAACATTTATTGTTACTTGTTGAATCTTTCCAACAAGTAACACTAAATGTTTTTAATAGTGAGACAATGAAGGAATAAATAATCTTCTCAAATTAATCAACATGACATAGAATTTCTATCAAGTAAATGGGTCATAATAGGCACTATAAAAACTGAGTTATGTAAAATTAAAAATATTTTAGAAAAAGACTTATAAAGGCCAACTCTAATGGGCAAGAAGTCAAACGACTAAGAGGACTCGAATTAAAAATAAAAAGATCTCACCAATCAAGCAATAAATATAATAAGAAGAAATAAAGGTCTATATTTCAAATAAGGTAAAGATGCATGCATATCAACTAACTTCAAAATATTGAGCAATGTGTTTTGCAAAAATTCATAAAGAGAAATCCCTGATTTAATCTATTAAAAGGAAAGCCACCTTGAGATGGCCAAAAATTAAAAACACTTCAAAATTTTTTTTATTTTTTAGAAATTTTTATATTTTTCACTTAGACAAGTCACACATGAGAATTGACCAACTTTAAAAAAATATTTAAATCTTTCATTAATGGATATGTCACTTATTATAATGAGATCAATGTTAAAAAACTTTCATATTTTTCACCAACGAGTAGGTTGTTTGGAACAATTAAACCACTTTTTAAAAAAAAATATTTTTCACTAACGGACAGGTCGCCTGAAACAATTAGACCATTTATAAAAAAATTGGATTCTTTATTGACAAGATAGGTCGCTTTTTAAATGACTAATTTTTTAGATTTCACTCTCTCTCTTGAGAAAGGTTATTTACCAATTTGCAACTTTCAAAGTTTTCAAGATTTTTAAAAGAAGTAAAGTTCTTTTCTAGAAACCGTTTGTTTATGTAAAAAAAAACAATTCATTTTTGATGGGGTCCATGATAATTCATGTTTTGCACATGATTTTGGTGAAGCAATTCCAGGTTGCTTTTCGTCGTCACTAGTGTTTCAGTGAATAGTGCAATTCACTTGCACTATTCACTTAAAAAATGAACAGTACAATTCACTTGCATTATTGGTGTGAATTTTTTTTCAGTATGCTTATTTTTTGTATATATTAAAAAAAAAGTTTAGAGTTAATTAAATTCACTCGCATTGTCATGTAAATAATATTTTTCCCAAAAAAACTAGTGTAGAGTGAATTAAATTCACTCACATTGTAATATCAAATCAATTTTATTTTTTATAATATTTTATCTAATTTTATTGTACGCTCAAAAAATTATTGAAATTGTAGTTCTTTTCGGATGAATTTTGTACATAATAAAATTGTAGATGGTTTAATGAAACAATAAAAAATATTTTATATAAAGTATTATTGATTTCATGATGTAATAGCAATAGTTAAATCTACAATATTTAAATTAAAAACCATCACTATTAATATATATTTTTTAAAATTATTTTATAACCTTAATTTCAAAAGCATTCTTAACTAAACACATTAAACTACTTTTTATTCAACCTCAATTTCAACCACAATTTTATCCAAATACCGATTTTTTCAAATCAACCTCAACTAAAAGTACTTTTTATAAAACAACTTTTTTCAAATCATAATCACAACAACTATCGTAATACCAAACACAATGTAAATTTACTATGTCAAGCTAAAAGAAAATAAAATCCTCCAAAGTATTTGCATTGTAAATATTATAAAGATAGGGCAACTATCATAACCTATTTTTTAAATTTAAAAAAATTAATAAAAAAATAAAATAAAAAATAATTTAAAAATTAGGTCAAGACAATGCAAATTGAAGGTTTGGGGACTAATAAGGAGGAAATTATAAATTTGGAAGTCAAATTGGCCAAAAAAATAGAAGAATTGATATGGTTAGGGACTTAATTAAACTTTAAATTAGTTTAATCAATGAAATCAAGGGCTTAATTAAAGAAATATCAAAGTTTAGGGTCAATTTGGATCAAAATTGCAAGAAATTAAAGTCCAAAAACCAAAGTGAATAGGCGGTTATACTATAGGGCATTAATTTATTTTTTCAGGGGTAATTTTTTAAAAATTAAAAATTAAGACGTCAATTAAAGACTTAATTGATTAAATTTGAAACCAAGGACTATTTTGTAAACCATGTTAAAATCCAAGGGTCCAATTGCAATTGATCCAATGGCGATGTTTTTTTTTTTCTTGAGAAAGAAGATTTCCATGAATAAAGGTCTAATTGTTAGACGAAAGAACTCTGGGGGGGAATTAAAGATAAGCATTTTAGTTGAGAAAACAATGCTGTTTCTAAATCCACTGTTCATCCTCTTTTTCCTTATCCCAGGGAAGATTGACTTAGTAAAAAATTGCACAAAACTTGATCCAAATTGTGATTAGATTCATCTCTTACCAAACCTACTAGCTGTTTTAGTACCTTAGCCTATTTTATATAAAAAGTTTAAGGGGTGATCATATTTTTTTTTTCGCGTAACCAGTTTTGCATCATAGAGTATCTATTAACCAGTTGGGGTTTCTAATGATCATAATACTAGGCGATGACTCCTTATACTAGACCTTTCACCATCTAAGAACACGATGTCCAATATCTGTTTATTTTCCAAATAAATTTTTAAAGGGTATTGCGATGTGGGGTTCGACAACGATTTTAATTTTTTTTTAATTTTATCATTTGATATTAGACTGATTGATAATTGAGTTTCATGATTTTGTTTTTAAATTTTCTATGAGGTTAACATCGTCTTAAAAAAAGTCTCAATATTGGTTTGATGCTCGATTTTACGATCATTTATTTTTGTTGTCATATAGTTAAATAAATAATAGTTCAGCAAAAAAAAGAAGTTATCAATCCTAATGGAGTCAATTACCTAATTTGCAGATCTGACGTGTTGATTAAGGTTATCTAATTCATGAGTTTGAAAAATTAATATGAGTTAACAATAAGTTTTTTTAATAAAAAATAGGCTTTTTAATTTTTGTAAATTTTTTTCTATTAGGTTATTCCAATCTCATATCTTAGATTGTTGGTTTAATAGGATAACCTGGATTGACTTGAACTTGATTATCGAGCTATAAGTTTATCATGCTAATTTGAATTGAGTCAAACTGATTTTTTAAGGTTATTTTTTTTATCTAATTTCATCATGTTATATTTAATGGGTTGAAAATTAAGCTACATTATTTATCCTCTCTTCAAAATAAATTCTCAAGTTATTGTAATAATTTGTTTTTATCAATTTGTTGTTGTTGTCTATTTTTTAATGATATAATTAAATAAACTCAACTTATTTGATAAATTCAAATCCATAACGCGAATGCTATATTTATCTTTGTTTTTTAAAATGTGTTTGTAATAACTGAAAAATAAATTTTTATAAAAAGATTCAAATGCACAACATAGTGTAGGTGTAACTAGTGAGTTTTTCTATCCCATCTTGATTTACCAATTGTAATAATGAAGTTGGAAATTCCATCAATTATGTAAACATAAAAAATATTTTGTATCTATAATAAAATATAAGTTTATTTATAAAAATAACATTTTTTTTTTATTTTAACCAAGTATTTATGCAAGCATCTTTCTGAGTTTTGTTTTTTGTAATAATACGTGGTTGGGTTTTCGAGAGTAAATTATATTTTTTTTTAGTTTTGTAAAATGAATTAAATATTTATTTTTGATCAATGTTAACACCTAATTTAATATATTATTTTTATTTTTTTCTTATAAATCTTTGAGTATTATTAATCGAGTTTTTGAAACTCCAGTCAAGGTTGTTAAAATCGCGATTTTGACACGGCACGGAACATGCAAACCAAACTCGGATCGTAAAATCGTAAAATCGTAAGGAAATTTAAAATACATTAAAAAAAATTATGTTTCAAATAAAAATTCATAGCACCTTAAAATATATGCTTCAAATAAAAATTCATACATAGTTCAAGCACCATAAAATACATGGTTAATACATGCTTCAAATAAAAATCCATACATAATTCAAGCATCTTAAAATACATGATTCAAATAAAATCCATACATAATTTAAATAACTATTCATTAGCTAATAATTAACAAACTTAAAACAAATAATCTGCTGGTGTGTCATGTAAACTAAAACCAGCTTCATTGCCTTCATCTTCCTCATTATTCCTCATACATTCATCGATATCATTAGCATCAAGAGGATTATTAGTGTCACTACTAGTACCAACACCAATATTATGAGCATTAGTGCTACTACTAGTACCAACACCAATATCATCAATTTGAATATCCAAATCATCTTCAGTACCATGACTCTCTATTTCAGCATCATTAGGAATTTCTTCTTCATCACTTTCATCTTCATTACCATTTTTTCTTCGTGTTGCATTGTCAATAGCACCAAGCAAATCAATGTTTGAATGTTTTTCTCCCTCGGTTATCCAATCATCATCAGATGAAAGATCATCTTCTACACCAAAATCATCCGCTTGCTTTTTGACTTGATTATTATTCAATTTCAAATTACACATTACAAATACCAAGTCATTCATTTTTCTCTGGTGCAAACGATTTCTTCGTTTTGTATGAACCTAAATAAATAATTCAATTCAAATTTATAAGATTTTTATCAAATATTTTAATATTTAAAATAAAAAAATAAAAAAACTCACCATTTCAAATGCACTCCAATTACGCTCACATCCAGATGAAGTACAAGTCAAGCTTAGAACTCGGATTGCAAACCTTTGTAATTCTGAACATTCATCTCCATAAGAATCCCATCATTGAGCTAGAGTTTTTTTTATCTCTTGCTGTCTTGGCAGCCTCAATGCCAAACAACCCTTTTGCATCCTTGAATGATTCAAGTTGCAAGTCAATTTTGCACCTTT